TATGATTGGATAAGAACAGAAAAGAGTTCATTAATCCTCATTTTGAGGCACTGCCAATTTTCATTAGACTTTAGCTAACCAAATATCGCTCTATAGTAGAGTTGATTTTAATTGTTGATTTCTGAAAACAAATTCATTTGGAGGGTCATTTTGCCACCATCTTTTACCTCCATAGCAAGGGGATTCTCTATTGCAGACTTTAGCCAACAAACAGTTATAATCAATTTTAAACCTTTTTTTCTGTTTATCATAAGATTTACGAAAGATTTCTGCTGCCGATTTATCCATTACTTTCATAATTTTTATGACAATATCTCATCCTTATTTACGTTTTTCTTGTGCTGAATTGTGCCTGTTTTCGATGTCGCTATTCGTAACTGTTGGCAATATTTTGTGCTATCTTTTACTTTTCTGGTAGCTATTATGTCAGTCATAGGAGATGCTTGCTGTTATAAATCTAATTAACCTACTCCATCTGTTTTAGTGGCAGTCCAAGTTGGGTGAATTCAATTAGGCAATATCTTTGACTATCCTGTACAACAGGTTGAAAAGCTTTTTGCATCTATTTCTAAACACATCCGTTTTTACCTCTTAATGCTGGTTGCGTATTTTATTTAACAAAGCTATGATCAACTCCCTTGGAAATGCAATCCATAATAAAAGTCTTACCAGCCATGCATATTTAGTTCGCTACCGACAATTATATCACTCACTCTGTTCAACTTATAACCTGGTATTCACAATTTCGGCTGTCTCACTCTCCCGGTGAATTCGTAGAGCCTAGAATGGCCAACTTTGAGCCAGTCTTCATACATTATTGGACTTCAGGTCGCTAAAAGAGTGCAATAAAGCGAAGCGACCTTTCAAAAGCGTTAGTTTATATCGCCCATCAGAACTTAAGATGATAAAAGGACTAGTGGCTGAATGTTCTTAAAAGTAAATGAGTTAACCTCATGTTTCCAGTTAATTGTGCACAGTCTCGCTTTCTACTAGATTGTAGTACTTTTTTCGCATTTTAAGTATTGTTTCGAGACCACCAGTAAATCAGTAGTATGAGATGTATTCACCCAATTTCGTGTGAGGTAATATAGGACTTTTACAACAATTTTCCCACAATGATATGAGTAGAGCTGACGTTTCTATTGCATTTTACATTATCTAGCTTTCCTAAAAGTTTTTCTCATCCAGGCACCAGTGGACTACAGTTTCCACCTCGCATCGGTCTTATCAACACCCCAGCGGGAGTCAAGCTCCCATTCTGCACTGTCACGTTTCGACTCCCGCTGAGGGTGTTGATAAGACCGATGCTAGGTCGAAATTGTAGTCAATTGGTGTGAGGATGAGAACAAATTTTGGGAAAGCAAGGCTATGTGAAATGCAATGGAAACGTCAGCTTTACTCATATCATTGTGGGAAAATTCTTCTACCGGTCCTTCATCACCTTAAGCGAAATTGAGTGAATACATCTCATATTACTCATTTTCTGTCTATAAGTATGCTTTCGAGAATAGAAATAGATCATATATGTGAGGTATATTCATCTTATTTCGTTGATGGTACTAGGGTAGCTGTTTGTTTAATTTGTATACAATAACATAAGTATACCTTAAGTTTCTATTTAAGTTTAATTAGCCTTATCACTTTCGACGAAATAGAGTGAATAATTGTTGGGCTTACTTCCATTTTGATTAGAAGTGTTGGGTGAAGAGATTCGAAGGTCGGTTCCACCAGAAGACGACGGCTGTGATTGGCTTTACTGGAACATTCATGCTGACGCTGTTTCCGAGGCAATCTCCTTCGATGCTGGTGAAATGATGCTAAGTTTTCGGCCGTCATACGACTGACATCATCAGAGCGAGGTAACATCGTCACAACAAAATTGAAGCTAACGAGTCAAGAAAACTCACTGGCA